TTTTTTTTTTTTTTTTGCAACCTTTGGTATTTTATTGCAGGGTATTTTAACTTGTTTTCCAGCCACAAGCAGGCTCTTCCATTTAGCACGATGTGTCATACAAGTCATTTTCTATGTAAAAAAGGTTACGAAGCACCACTTTTTTGTACACTTAAAAAATAAATAAAAGGAGAAAACACATTGAATTAGCTCTAGTTTGGTGGATACTTCTTTTTCATCAGGAATCAACCGCAGCTTCCCAGAGTCCCTGTCTTTTCTGAGGGCATCTCTTCATTGATGCTTGTTTTCCCTTTTGCTTTGGATGAAGAAGGATCTGGTATTCAGTGAATGGAAACCAGAAGTGTTCCTAATCCTGGCAAGGGCCAGGCAGTATCTTTCTTGTTCCTCTCCAGACTTTGCTCACACACAATTGGATGTGGAATTTCAAATCTGCCCCATCTCCACAAATAGTTTAGCTCACAGATTTCCCTCCTCTTCCTTCAAAAACAAACAAGATTTTCACTCTACAGCCTTAAAGTAATTTCACTGTTACACTTTTCAAGTAATAGTCTGTTTGGGAAATAACTGGATCAGCCATATGTTAGAGCAGTTTCACACGTTTGCAGCTTGCTTTCTGCCTCTCTCCCAAAGTAGCCAGGCATTTTGATACATTCCGCCTCAAGAGCAGAGGCATGCATGCCTCTTATCTGGCAGGGGAGACTGGAGTGGCTACATTGTCATAATGCTTTTGTTTTCTGGAGTCACTGAATTCAAAGAGTGCCCTGCCCTGATTATATAGAATGCCAAGGATGGAGACATACTTGATAAATAATACTAAAGTTGAATTTAGTTATTTTTGTTCAGGCAATATAAAGACAAGGAAGAAGAACACCAGAGTGGTTTTTTCTCTGCTTTAACAAATATGGTAAGTCCGACTTGTTTTTTCTGTCTTGCTCAGCAGTCTTAAGGCGTCTGCAGGGGTAGACAAATCTGTACTTAGAAGTTCAAATGTTTGAGATGATGGCATGATGAGGGGAGAGTGGCTCAGAGCAGAGTTTTGAATGTTTATCTTTGAGAGAGAGAGAGAGAGAGAGAGAGAGAGGGAGAGAGAGAG